GTAAAGTAACAACGATTCCATTTAAAACAATGGAAATCAAAGAGAAAAGGAATAGAAGAAGAAAAAGCAAAGGGAAAAGAAACAACGAAAAGAAAGATAAATTTTAATTTTTGCTAGAATTAAAATAAGCAAAACGATGCAAGAGGTTGTTCGTTGATATGTGTTGGAGATATACATGATAATATTAATGAGTTATTGCATATATGAAAAATCTTCAAAGACTCCTTATGATTGTAACGAAATTATTAGCTAATTGTGAGATTAATAAAACAAGAGTTAGTATGTTATATATTCTTTTAAATTCATTATTGATTAATAAAAGTTGACCAGTTCAGCTGCTGAATTTTATTAAACTGATAATTAAATAAAGTTTAGTTTATATAAATATTATAATTCATGATTTCTTTTATGAAATTTTAATTTTACTATATTTTAATTAATAAAAATTTATATTTTATCCTTATTTAATGATAAAATAAAGTTTAAATTTTAAATTTTTCTAAATAGAAATGAATTAGAAAAAAATTTCTTTTAAAAATTTCTAAAAATCTGAAAAATATATATAATTTAATACAAAAATATAGATTTTTATTAAAAAAAAATTCTAAATATTTCATAATTATTATTTGATTTTGTTAAAATTTAAAATATATATTTATTTATATGAATTCTTAAAATTGATAAATTTATAATAATAATATCTAAAAAATTATTTTAATTTCTAAAAATTATAAAAGAAATTATATACTTATTTATAATAATAATCAAAAATAATATATCAAAGACTAAATTTATTAATAAAATATAATAAAAATTAAAATTTTCTTTTTATATTAAAATTTATAATTTTATTAAGAAATAATTTTTATTTTTATATCAAAATAAAGTTTATTAATTATAATTTAACATATATTTTTTTCAAATTTTTCAGATTTTTTTTTGAAAGAGTTATTCTAATTATAATATCAATATAAAAATTTTTATTAATTAAATTTCATTTTTAATTAGTAAAAACTTTTATATTAATTTTAAATAATTAGAATCTCTTTCAGAAAAATCTGAAAAAAAATATGAATATAAAAATAAAAATTATTTCTTAATAAAATTATAATTTTAATATAAAGAGACTATTTTAATTTTTACTATATTTTATTAATAAATTTAGTTTCTATATATTATTTTTAATTATTATTATAATATAAAAAATTATAATTATTTATATTTTATATAACTTTTATTTTTATATATAATAATAGTTAAAGATAAATATATTAGAAGTCAAATTTATTAATAAATATAATAAAAATTAAAATTTTTTCTTTATATGATTTTATTAATAATAATTTTATTTTAATATTAAATTAAAATTTATAATTTAAAATTTTTTAGATTTTTTCTGAAAATTATTCTAATTATAAAGTTATTATAAAAATTTTATTAATTAAATTTTATTTTTAATTAAAATAAATTTTTATAATTAGAATAATTCTTTTAATATAAAAATAAAAAATATTTATTAATAAAATTATAAAGTTTAATAAAAAATTTTTCAATTATTATTAATATTTTATTAATTAAATTTAATTTCTGATATATTATCTTTGATTATTATTATATTTTATATTAAATTATATTAATTATAAAAATTATTTATTATTATAAAAATTTAAAAATTTAATAATTTTTTTAATATAAAATATTATTTATATTTAATATATAATTAGTAATAAAAATTTAATTATTTTTTAAATTAAATAAAATTTATAAAAAAATAATTATTATTTAAATAATTAAAAATAATTTTTATATATTTTTAATATTTAAGAATAAAAAATAAATAAATTAATAAAATATCTTAGTAATATCTCTTATAAATTTAAATTAAATTTGTTTTTTCAAATTATTTAAAAAATTTTAAAAATAATATTTAATATATTATTCTCAAATAAATTTATTTATTAAATTATAAGAAATTTTTAATAAAATTTTAATAAAATTTAAGAATTTTTCATTATATAATAAAGAAAAATATAATTAAAATTATTTATTTACATAATATTTTTGTAAAAATTTTAATATGTAAATTATATAATAGAATTTTTCTAATTATTTTTTAAAATTAATTTAAAATTAATAATATTAATATTATTTAGTAAATAATTTTATATAAATTATATAATAAAATTTTTCTAATATTTTTTAAAATTAATTTTTTTAACCTAAAAATATTAATAATATTAATATTATTTAATAAATAATTTTAAGTAAACTTTTTGATAAATATTAATAAATATATATAAAATTTTTAAATAATTTTATTGAATTATAATAAATTTAAGAAATTAAAGTTTTATTTTTTTATTATTGATTATATTAAATTTTTATTTATTCAAAAATTATTTGATTTTTAAAAAAGCATAAATTTCTCAAAAATAAACTATTAATAAAATATAGTAATAATCAAAAATAACAAAATATTTATAACTTTTATATTAAATTTTATTTTAAAACTTTTTGAAATAATTAAAAAATTATTATATTATAAATTTTGATATTTAATTATTTTTTTTATATATATATATATATATATATAATAAAATTTAAAAATTTAATAATTATCATTATCTTATTAAATTATATTAAATTTTTATTATTATTTTTTAATCTAATTATTTTTTATTTATTCAACTCTCATTTAAATTTTGCTAATTAAATAACTTATGAAATTTAGATTTATATTATATTATCTATACTAAAAATTTAATCTTCAATCTAAAAAGTTACAAATATTCTGATACTTTTGACTTTTACTACTTTTACTACAAGTTATCTTCTCGAAATAAGAGAATTAATATTAACGTCTTCAATTTTATTTAATTATATATAAAATATAATAATAAATTGAAGACTTTAATATAAGAAAATTCTGCATTTTACTGATAAATTTGATCTTGCATTTCTATTGTTCAGTCTTATTAAGTTTTCAAGAACAAAATTTTCTAAAAAGTATTTTTTCAACCTTCGAACTAGTATACTGATCTATTATTACTATCATAGTCATCTATTTTTATTAGATTATTAAGTGCGCGTATGATTATCTAGTAAATTATGGAAGAATGACAACTCTTTTTTTATTGCCTGTAGAATTTTCAGCATCTGCATATTTTAAATATTTTTTTAGCAGCATAGTGCTCAGCGAGCTTTGACTATTATTGTTGTGGTCATTATTACCATCATTATCATCATTAGTATTAAAGGTGTTTGGATTAGAACTTTGACTTCTATTTTCAAGAGGAGAGTTTGTCAATGCAGTCAAAATGTTATTTTGAGCAACTGCTCGCTGTCGTTCCTCAATTTTTAGTCTAAGCATGCTAACAATATCACGTGCGTCAGCTTCTCGTTGATCATCTCTTCCCCACATACGGCCAAGATTTAATTCAGCGTCATCCAAAGGTGTTTTTGTCCAACGATCTTTAGTATCTGGTAAAATATCAGGCAGAGATAGTAGATAAGCAACAACTGAACGATGCCCTTGTGCTACAGCATGATGAAGGGCCGTTCGGTGATCGAAACCCGAACGATTCACTTCCCAACCCGCATCCACAAAATTTTTTAAGAGCTCAACATCCCCTGTTGAAGCCGCTCTGATAGTATTTGATAATCAAAGGAAAGGTTTATAATGATGCATTCATGATATTTTCATTAAATAAAAAGAAGTGTACTCACAGAAAAGCTTGGAAAATAACGTGATCACTTTCAGAATCATTAAAATGAGCACCAGCTGATCGCAACAACTCAATGATAGCTCGATGCTTATTTCTTGCTGCCTCGAACAATGGCGTATGACCAAATCTGTCTCTAACATGCACAGATGCTCCACGCTCCACTAGAAATTTCACTATTTTATAATGACCAGATGTACACGCAATGTGCTACACGAAATCAAAAATAATTAGTTCTACTTATCACCTGCTCTTAAACATGAATGATTTCTACAAGTGCAAAGTCTTTATACCATCGGCGTCCTCTCATCATAATCCACACAATTTAGAACAAGCGATTCGCCAACATTTTCCCACAATAATTCCATCCCAGTCAAATCATTTGTTCCAGCAGCAGAACATAATAAAATGGGATACAAGGACTTTTCCATTAATACTCTTTCCTGCAAATTAATTGAAAGTTCAACATTGTTTGAATTTGCAGCTGCTGCCGACGCCGCAGCTGCAATAAAGTTTAAAGTGATGCATTAATTATTTTAAAGAAGGATAAGAATGAGCATTTACTAATTTCGTTACATACTTATAATATTCTGAATTAGGGTATGTGACTTATTAAATGTAAATCTTTCTTTGGTTGCAGGAACAGACAATTCGCCACGCAGATTCCTAGTTATTTCTTTGCGAACCTGATCAGGTGAAAGATTTTGACCTAAAAGATATGAGAGTTTCGCTAAGGCGCACTAAATATGCATAAAAAACCCATAATTGTAAATTAAGAGAAAGAATTTTTAACAGCAAAAAAGGGAGTCATTACCTCTGCTGTCATGTCACTTCCTGGCACAACACCAATTATAGTTAACGCTTTTCCGGTCGCGTATAGATCCGTCACCAACCCTTTTTTACATTGTGAGCAATTCACTATAACCACGCCTCGTTCGCTTGCCTCCGCGAATGCTTTCATGAGATCTTCACGAGTGTCGGGTGCATTGCCGGCACCATAAGTCTCAAGCACAATACCTTCGATAGGTGGAGCTAGGAAGGCGCGAACTGTAGATTCGGTTATACCAGGGAATAATCGAAGAGTAGCGACATTTGAATTGAGTATTTTATGAGCCTTAAATTTGGCTATATGTAAAGGCCTTACAACTTCAGCCCAATTAACCTCTGAAGCGTGTGCATTATCGTAAAAAGAAATATATTAAATAAAATATTATCTTCGGGGCGGAAATTTTCAAGTTAATGTTTCGGGCGATACAAGTTTCGCATAATTAGTGGTTAGGGTTTGGGACTTATAGGGTGAAGCTGAAAGTTAAATAGGAGAAACGCTTCGGATTTAAAAGATAATTTCGCCCGAAACACTAAGATCTCTTTCTTACCGATGTTTATTCCAACCTTTACTAATGGACTCAAATTTGGTGAATCAAACGCGTCAAAATCTACAGCATTCATTTTCGATACCCTGTTACCGCGAAAGAGTTTATTGTTGAAAAAAAGACAAACCTCTGGGATAACAAAGTGGCCCGCTATTGTAAGTGCACCTAATAAATTTTCTATCGCATCATTTCGCACTTCAGACATCGGGACCTATTAATGATCGTAAATTGAATAAGTACAAGTATATATGAAAAAGTTGATTTTTTCATAGTTTATATACCTGTGATCCAGTTAGAATTACAGTTTTTCTTTCAAATAATGAAAAAAAAACAGTATAAGTAAAAATGGATTAAATATTAAAATAGACAGACTGAATAATTATATAAACACCCTAAATTTTCCAAGATGAAGCTTAAGGCGCTTGCCGTATATGCCATGGTGTCCGTTCCTTGATTCAAGATAGATTTTAAAGTTAGATCAAAATCAATGCATTAAATTTACAGACTAAAAAAATACTACCATGAAGTATAATAAACGCGTCATACACTTGATAATTTGCCTCAATATCTGAAGCAATTCTTATCCAATCTTCAGGATCGAATATTTATTAGTGCGGATAGGACTATTTTACAAAAACATTAAAGAAAAATATAATTTGAACTTACCTTTCATTGTCATGTTACATGAATCCAACAAAGGCACATATTCGTATATGGAATAACTAGAATATTATAACTGAATTTAGAAATAAAAACCGATTGACGTTGAAAATAAAACGCGTGATCTTTCTTGCCATATTCTTTTGCCGTATAAGGAAGGCGGTGTTATTAAGCCTCGGATCGATTCAGCTTGACCTTCGATGATAATTTTATTCATCAACACATCACGATCAGATGATTGATTGAAAATGTGAGGTGTATCGAAAGAGGATGTCGTAGATATTTTCGAATAACCTCGCGGATCATAAAATCGTGTCATTTGTGAGAGGGTTTCTGTTAAATAATTGGGAGCCTGAAAACACGTCGAAGTTATGTACGTCAACTAGAATATAAAGACTTCACGAATATATTGTTTAATTTAGAATACCTACCGGAACATATCCGTGTTGTTTATTGTGTTTCATGCCAATAGTACCACCGGTGTAAAGTACCAAGACACGCGAAAAATCTGGTTATCAAAGTATTTTTCTCTTTAGTTAACAAAGTACTGATAAAATTGTAAGAAAAAAAAAAAATATTACTCGGTGTCGCCATCTCATTTCTATTTGCAGCCAATGCCTCTAAAACAGAGTCATTATGAATGGTATATTGATTGAACGAAGGTAATTCTTCGTCTGAAGTTAAATCACGAGGGGATAAAAAACAAGGAGCCTCCTCTGAAAACTCGAAATCGTCCAGTTCTCCATTTAAGCCGTTTGTACTCATATTGTTGAAGTTTAAGAGTTTGAAGACGGGTTAGAAGTTGTTGGTGGATTATCTTTACGAGGTTTTTTTATCGCGTCAAATTCGCAATTTTTTTAAACTCAGATTTGTTCATCGTTTACATCATTTAATGCAGCAATTTATTTTTAGTTATAATTTCTTTCCACGCTCACGAGGTTCTACAACAATTTCCCCTTTCATAAAAATGTAACCAATGGATAAAATAAAATGCAATACAACGTAATTTTTGGGAGAGAAATGGTCATATATACGTCTAAATGAATCGTAACAAACTGAAACAAATTTTTAATATGGAAAGTACGGAAGAGACAATGATGAATCCACATGCAGCATGTGAAGAAACCGAAACAGTTTGTTTGTTCATTTGACAGTTATTCAGAAAACTTTGGATTGTACGTTGTTTATCACACCCGTAATTTATAAAAAAAATCTTTGTGAGTGACGTTCGCGTGGCAATTGATACGCCCCCCTTGGTCTTATGACAACCGGTTAATTGAATTTGAAAGAACCTTATCGTGATTTTGATTCCCATTTTTAAAAATGATTTTCATATAATGGAGATTTTAATTGGGTACATGTATAACACTAATAATTTCACTGTTATTAAGTCTGCTCGTTGTTGTTCAGGCAAGGCCACGCCAGAGATGAATGTGTTAAAAATCTACTAGTACTCGTCGCTCCCAACAGTATGTTAAGAAAGGTTTCCAGTATCCAAAACCGAGAGGTAGCTCGATATTGCAGCGCTCGGTTAAGGAATGCATCTTTCAGGCTACGCTCGTGGACTTTCCTTCCCAACCAATTTGTTTGCCGCAAAAATGTTACTCTTCATGCAATCGATAGGTGGTGTTAACTTACACCATGGCTAATCCGGTTGGCCAAGTAATAAACTTTGAGGATGAAAGCACACCAATATATTATGAATGGGATTAGTAATTATTGCAACAATCGTATGGTTATATCAGGAATGGATAAAGCAACTACCAGACTCGCTATAATTATTAATTATTTATTTAGATGGCTGGGATAGAGAGAGATATCATCATTTATCATCATTTAATCAGTATAATTCCAAATTACATTGATGGTTTAATATTGATGTGAAAAGAAGGTGATTCTGCATCAATTACTTTGTTGGATCTTTTTTTTGCATATGCAGGAAGGTCAATTTTAAATATGGGAATGATTGAAAAATTGCGTGTTTCTAGAGACTTTTGTATGTAGAATTATTCTTCAAGTGCGAAAATTATCTTCTAACAAGCAAAGACAACGAAGCAGAGACAAATATGAACCACTTATCTTTGAGCACTTCTGCCACCACCTCGAATATGACTACGTGTCGTTTTTGGCTTGAGGGAGCTTGTAAAAACGGATCAAAGTGTCGCTTTGCACATCAATACATTAAAAACACCATTAACACAAACAGTAATGACTCTCCATCGAATAAAATTGTCTGTCGATATTGGAACTTAGGATATTGTAGACGTGGAATTACATGTCATTTTTTGCATCCCGGATCAGGTAAACTTTTAATATATCAGGCTATCTTTTTCGAAAAATCGATAGATATTTATTATTATGCAACCACAGAAAGGTGTAGTGCTCCTCCCAAATCTCTTCCGGCCCCATATCCAATTAAATGGTTACAGATCCCGAATTATTTGCCGCAAACAAAGTTTAATTTCAACGTGAGTCATCCGAACCAATTTTACCTAATCTCTAAACAGTTATGTAACGTAGACGAAGCTAAGGAAGAGGGTGAAGCTTCAGAAGACGAAGACAATGAGTTTGATCAAAATTTCAATGAGGTGGTAGGATTTTTTGAACAAAATGATGTAGACAACAACGACGATGATAATAATAATATTAATGATGATCTGGCGTTAAGATTAGTCGGACACGAACAAGATCAAGATCACAAAGAGCATTCTTGCAACGATTCAGATCAATCTGTTAAAGATATAAATATCAAAGAGGAGGAAGAGGGTTCACTGGCGAATGAAGGTGAATCCGATTCTGATATATCGGAATCAAGAGTCGAAGCTGATCCCGATTCTGATAATAACAATGAGTTACTAACGGAAGATGAATTACAGTCTCATTCTTTAACAAATGGAAGACTTGATATAGAACCATACGAAAGGGTAATCGAGGTATCCGAAACATCATCTGATTCAGAAGAATATGAACACTCATTATCTAACATTACAATCAGCGACTCAGAAGTGTATCATCCATTTGATGCATTTAATGGAAACCTCAAAAGTCATAAGGTAGCGTCCAAAGTCGAAGAAATGGATGTAGATGAAGAGACAGAAGGAGAACAGGAAAATAATCCTGATGACACTTGTGAGATTGAACTTGACGACGATCAATTTGAAGAATACGAGTAATAAACTTCCACCGAGATCATGGTTGTTTTAATAAATTTAGGACTTTCTTTTTATTGGTCACATTATTAAATACTATTTATTATATCGTAGTAATAATAGTCGCACGCCGAATCTTTATCATTTTATCCAAAAACAAAGTTTTTGCATTTTGATGATTGTCATTCATTTTTTTTTTAAAATTTAGGATCTGAAAACTACGACTATTACTTCATATGTTTCATTTTGACTGAATAAACAAGAATTTTCATATTTTCATGCTCAACAAAAAAAATATTTACTTGTCAATAATTAATTGACAATAAATAGTACAGTATAAATTAAAACGATGGGATAAATTTCATGAACACACACATGCGATAAGATCTAATTTACTTGGATTAGCGATGGCAACTTTCCTCAAATACAGTGCGGATGGGTGATATTATTATTAAAAGCAATGCCTTTGAAAAATTTTGCGGTAAAATGATTTCTTTCATTTAAGCGAGAACGCTCTTCATTAAGATCATCGTGGTCCTCTCGACTTGTAGTGAGATCTTTGATAAATATTTCGACCAACAAAACACAACATTGCTGAGCAGAGTGGTGGGAACTTGAATTTGTCTACTTATCAGCCGTTCCAATTGAAGCATGAATCATGATCACATTGTCTTATCTGCTTAAAAAACAACGACAATGCACATCTTTCCTTACTTTACAAATGCACTCATTAATGGTATGATCATGAGAGGATGCTTCGCTGTTCGTATAGTGAGACTGATCTTTTATTTATTTGTTTCAGGTGTTTGTTTTTGAGATTGCATTGGACGAACTGTTTCATTCAAGGAGGTGATTTCATTAGGTTGACCGCATGTGAAACTGAAATTTCAAATAACATTCAATTATGTATGTACTCGATCTTTGGGTGTAACATCACATACTATCCTGTTAGTACAAATTAACAAAGACGTGCAACTTCTAGCACTAAATGCTAACGCTGTCTTTTTCGAGGAGCGTCCCGAGCTGGTTTAGTTATAATGATTATTGTATTATTTCACCATTATTTAGAAACTCAGATAAATAATAGATATATGCATTAATGGACATTTAAGGAATGCAAATTTTATCTTCACATAGTAAAGATATTTGCAATCAAATCAACTTTGACAATGTGGATCTTCAACTGTTTGAGAGATTCCTTTTTTTTATATCAAACAAAACTTTAAAAAGAAAATAAAAACTAGTACAAAAATTTACAATATGCTACGCGTGTGAACAAAGTTGAATCAAGATGACCCATAAAATAAAAAAAAATTCTAAATAAATTTTTCGCTATCAAATTTTTTTGAAGCACTAATTTAATAATTACAATATTCTAGCCGAGTGGTATTTATTTCTATGAACATCATGATGTCATTATTGATCCTCGTTATCATCATCATCTTTATTATTATCATTGAGGTTGGTCTTAGAGGACAAGGAAACAGCATCATGATGTCTCTCTGGAGGCTTTGGAAAAACATCCTCAATTGAGAAAGCCATTACTTCATGATCTTCTGAAGTATCCTCGAATTCCTCCCAACTATCTTCTTCAGGGGATCCTCCTTCGAATGGATTCGCATGTTCCATGAATGGATTTTCAAGTGGAGATTGCTGTTCAGTTTGAATTCTAGGCGAGGGAGGATTTGCATTTGTAATATCAGAGGATGGCACATGTTCAACTTGAACGGTTCGATCTCTGGTAACTAAGATTTGTTCAGAAGCCGGGGCTATCAATTCCATCTCCACTACTTTCTCGCCTGTGGGCGAAGAGGGCGAAGAAGGTGCACTAGAAGATCTTCTAAGACCCAATCCAGCCCCAAACATATTTATAGAGGATGTGGTATTTCCAACAACAGTCTCACCATATAAAAATCTACTACTATTATTATTATTTATACCATTGCCACCTGATGTACTACCAACGGCATCATCACGATTAAATGTTCCATTCGCTCCTGATCCGGATGCTATATCATTGAAATCTTCAATAAACGAAGATGTACTGGGATTTTTGTATAGGCTAAGAAAAGAAAATGGTTGTGTCGGTAATTCCAAGTCAAGATGTCGTTCTTGATGTGCTGGAATCGCATGCGTCATAGATGGCAAATAAGTTGTTTCGAGATCTTGCGGTAAACGCATGACTCCTTTACCTTTTTTACGTCGTCTGATTGCTCGATATCCAAAGTAAGCGAGAATAAGTAGAATGATCAAAATTGCAAAAATTATTCCAAGAATTATTCCCGTGTTCAATTTATTTTTTCCATCAGAATTGTTCGATTCATTAGTAAAATTCGTGGTGGATGTCACTTCAGAAGTGGGAAGTGGTCCATTATCAAAGGGTGGAGTTTTGTGAAAATCTGTCGGCTTAATTATTGACGAGGAAGAAGCAGTAGAAGTAGGCACAATGGTCGAAGTGGATATAGGAGAACTAGAGGCAGCTGTTGTTGTAGAAGCAAGAATTGAAGTTACTGAACTTGGTAAACTTGAGGAAGTAATTAGATCTGACGTTAAAATAGGGGATTGTGAAGACAGTGATGGCGAGGGTGCTGAGGTTGAGGGGTCTAAAGATAGTAATATTGATGATGGTAATGAAAAAGGTGATGAAAGTAACGATGAAATTATTGGCGTTAATTGTGAAGGTATTGTTAATGATGGTATTACTAATGATGATGGTATTGCTAATGATTCTAATGATGATTGTAATGGTGGCTGTATTGATGAGTCTGATGATTGTCCGTTATTTGACAGAAGAGCAGCATCTCTATCACCACTTCTGATAGTTACAGAAACACTTTGAGAGTCACTTTGGGGAAAAATAAATTGTCTATTTGAAAGCAAATTACCTTCATTATTGTGATTATTTTCATTATTTCCATTAGATGACGATGGATTATTGTTGGACGACGACGACGACGACGACGCTGATGATGGTAATGATGATGATGACAGTAATGGTGATGATGGTAAATATATTGGGATTACGGGAGTAGGGATTATGGGAGTAGGGATTACGGGGGTAGGGATTACGAGACTAGGCATTCCGGGACCAGATATTCCAAAAAATCCATTTTGACGCTTTACATTTTTCTTTTTCTCATTTATCGTATTATCATTATTATTATTTACATTATTATTTGCATTATCATTATCATTTTCGTGACAATTGGTTTTACAACCATTTCTAATGCTGTTACCAACAGCCTCACTGCAAGATATTCGTTGTTTCACCAGTCCCCGAGACGTGTCAAATCCACGTTCGAGCGCTTTCATTACGTTCGAGCGATTCGCAAAATATTTCTTTTATCCACATACACAATAAACGTAAGTGGTATAGATAGAACGGAAGACAAGAAGATTGTCGCTTACGATGAACCCGGTATTTTTCTCAATAAAAATGGTCTATGAAAATATGCATGCTTACTATGCACGACACGTCACACATGTTGAAAAGAGAAAAAATCGCGAGCTACAGAATAACCCATAGTGCGTAGGGTGAGTTAAGTAGTAAATGCATCAAAGGGGTTAATATTTA